ACACAGATGAATTGTCACACGCTGCTTGTTTCTGACACCTTTCCCCATCTGAAATCCGTGTACTAAAGGTTAGATTTTCACTTTCTGCTGTATTGAATGTGATGTATTGATCTTTATGCCAACGCAGCACTAGCATTCATTCGAACGTATGCCTGCTGAATGGAAAAATAACTAAGACATGTAGGTTCCTGTGATGAGGTGCTGGAGTTGGCGTGTCTGCCAGCGAGGAAAAGTGATTTAACAATTAAACAGGCAAATTGTTAGCTTTTAGGGTTCTTCTTCAAAAAAATCGAATTACAATAACTATAAAACTTGATTACAGTGTTATTTGAGGAAAGGAATTATGTTCTTTTTTATAAAAATCGGATTGTTTTTGAGAAAAATATTTGTCTTTTCATGGGGTCATGCAGAAAATGAAAACAAAGTAAGATTTTTTTTTTTCCCCAGTATAAAATGGACCAAAGTATTGTATCTGCTCAGTTACCATAAATAAACTGTACCCAGCAAGCAGAATAAAAGCTTGTGTGTAATTTCTATGTGGAATTTGGACATTATTCTGTTTTTAAAAAGGAGCTGAAGATGCTCTGATCTTGATGTCTAGATGTCTGTTGTTGTCACACCAGAGCTAGCAGGTTTAGGACAGTAATTCTTACAGGCTTTACTTTCTCTTGCTGTAAAGAAATTAAGTGGGCAGCTAGGAAAATTTAGGCACATGATTATCTGTTTTTTTTAAAGACTCAAATTTCCTTTCTAAGGTTCTTTTAAAAATGCACAACATGCTGCACTGGTGTTATTTTCAACTGTTGGAAAAACAGAAGTTAAACATCGTCCTTACTATCACATTATGTAAAATCAAATTGACAAGATATTGCAAAGTAATTGTCTATTTTCAGTAACCAAAAGTACCGAAGACTTTCTAAAACTACAATGTGTGGTATATTTAATAGTACAAAGTTATTTAAAAAAATTTTGAGGCTAAATTTTATACAACTGCATGTTGTTAAATGTGTAGACTCAGACAAATTCAAGTAAAGCATTAATAGGAGTGGTGGCTGAGAACTGATAAGCTGTCCTATCCCGAGAGTTTTAACTCCATTTGAAAACAATGATTTCCACTACAATCTGATGCTGTTACTGTTATGTTCTTGTAAACTGATTTCAGTACTTAAGTTTCAGAGGAAGAAGCTGTTTCAAGCAAATACTCGTGCTTGTGACATCTGTGATTTGCATGTAAAGAATTATCTTGGTGAATCAGTCAAGTGACTTTCATGCTGAAGTGCCTGCTGGATGCCATTTGTGAGCACAACTGGCTAATGCTTTGGCTCTAATTTGAGGAATGACAACTTAAAGTGATTTTCTGGTATGGATGCTAAATGTTATGGGTGAGAAAAGATGATCAGTTACTAGAGTGAATGAAGACATCTGCCTCCCCAGAAACAACTGAATGCAAAGTGAATGAAATTGTAATTTTAAATGGTCCAATATTTTAACATAGCAAAAGCAAATATGAAAATTGGGCTGAAAATACCCTTTCATTAATCAAGTGGCTAAGTACACTTACACATGGTAAAGATTTGCCAATTTTAGGAATCTTGTTGCTTATCAGTAATTTTTTCTTCTGCCATGAACCCCAGAATTACCTTTCCAAAGGCTGCTGCCTCCTGTTGCATGTAACCTTTCTGTCTGCTGCGATGCCTGTAGCCTGCAGCTGAATATTGCATTTAAAGTGTAACAGAATTACTTATAGGAGCTGGAAACAAAATACAGCTTGACAAAATTAATCTCAAAAGGAACTCGTGAAACTTGGGTAAGGCTGGGGAAAAGTGGGAAAACCTTTAACAGGGTTAAAAAAAATCAGAGAAAGCTTATAAAAACTGTTCAATATTTTAAGCACTGAAGTAACATGATTCCCTAATCTTTCACTGAGAATCATGCGACCGTTTATTTTTCTTGTTGTAGGGTCTTGTTTTTGTTTTTTTGTATGAGGTCCCTAACAGTCTTCAATAATTGATGTTAACAGGTATAGAGTAACAAGATGGCAATAGTTAGGGTAACCTTTCTAGGTTAAGACTGTCAAAAAAATCTTCCTGAATTTGGTATAATTTTGAGAGGAACGTGGGATCATATCACACATCAGTTTCTGACAAACCGTATTTCTAAGAATGTAAATCCTGTACATGCTGTTACGTACTGTAAAGGTTTGGGCCATTATTGTAGTGTTTGGATTGCATTAAAAAAAAAAAAAAAGTAGTAAAAAAAAAAGAAGCTTCCCAAAAAATGAAGTAGTTGCATTGAATACCCTTTCCTCCTAATACATAGCCCCACAGCTCTGCCATTGAAAGCATACCGAAGTCCTGGTTTATACACAAAATTAATATCTGTGATTCCTCTCCCACCTTACACAGGTGCATTCACGACTGTATGCACTTGGAAGTTAACTTTCTCTGAATTCTGAAACAGGCCTCCTCTGGTCTCAAAAATATGGAATCTTTGGGCTGGGGTTGAAGTCTGATACAGTTTCTTTGCATCTCTACTTTTTCAGTGCTGAATTTTATCTTCCCACGTGCGGCGCAAGATCACAGCACCGCACAGAGTGTGGAAACGGCTCAGGTTCATTAGCAGCGTCTACCATCACTTGCAGTCCTTTCTAACAGACCAGAGCCAGACCTCGTTAGGACTGCTTTAAATGCAGAAGATGGTTCAGACTGTCTGAAATCCATCCCCTCACTTTTAAAAGCAACAACTGCCTCCTCTGCCCGCAGGATCTGCCCCCCCGGGGCGGTGAGGAGGGGCCTGAGGGGACAGTGGGACCCCCACCAGCAGGGACAGGAATGGGGACAGCCAGCCAGCAGCTCACCCGGGCTTTGCTGGGGTAGCTGGCCTGTGAGGTCCACCTTCCCCTCTGCACTGGAGATGTTGCTCTTTGTTGATGGAAGCTTTGGGGCTTAGGTTTGGTTCGGTTCAAAGAAACGCTGTTGTGCTGCAGAATGGAAAGGAAGGTCTACAAAAACTTGTGACTGTGAAGGCCTGAAGCAAGCCCCCCCCCGCCCTGGTGCTCCTCTGATAAGGTGTGCAGCAGAAGCCATGTCCCCACGCCCTGAGGAGCTGCTGTCACTTTGGCTTGCTGCAGGGACCCTCGGCTGCTCCCACCTGCCTGCCTGCTGTTGCGTGAACTGTGGGGCTCCACCTTTGCTCACCCACATCCCATGGCGGTGGCCCTCTGTCCATGCCGCATGGGCACTTGCCGTACGCCTCCCAGCAAGCAGCTTTTCAGCATTAGAAATGATCCCCCCTCCCTGGGTTCAGTTAGAATTAAACAAGGATTAGTCCACCCAAATACACGAGGTTTGAGAACAGCGTATACAGTGTATTATTTTCGAAGGTTTCTTGTGGTATTTCAACATCTTATGTACTTGGTCATCTCACAAGCTGATGTTCTTTAATCTTCAAAATTTGTCACCAGTGCCTTGCCCCCTCCACAAAGGAGGAAAATAGTTGAACCTTCTCTTTCTGCTACTTGCTCAATTTGTGCTTGCAGGCAACAGCCAAGGACAGCATCGACCACCCGGCCTTTCACTTGACATGACTGCAGTCTTGCAAGGACAGAAACATGTTGGCCTCTCACTTTCCCGTGCCCCAACCAGGTGCTGAGATCTTTCAAGCCACCAGAAACAGGATGAAAGCAAGCACACCAAATTGTTCAAGCTGTAAGTTAGTAACACAAACAAGCAACACAAAAGGCTCAAGTTTATTTGTTTTGGCATGCCTGCTATTGGAAACACAGCCTAACAGGTCTTTCAGCATCTATTTAAAGCCCCCAATTACTTTTCCCTTTGGCTGCCACCTAGTATGTCAAGTTTTTACAGTGGAATTAAAATGTCCCCAAGACATAGGCTTATGTAATGGAAACAATGACCTATATGAACTTGGAGTTACTGTACCAAATAAACCATTTCCTTCAGTCAGGGTCGTGTTTTGCAGTGTTAGCAATCACTCAGTCATAAAAGGAAGGACTCAGAATTCATTGTTGCTAAGGTTTACAAATTCACCATTCGTCTGAAAAATATACTGAGTATGGAGTGACTTTTCCAGTGGTACAATACAGAAATGCACAAATTATTGCAGCACTGTTTTATATTTAACATTTATTGCATGTCAGTGGTTCATAGCCTGGTAAGAAAGCCCATTACTCTACACTTTGGTTGACTTTCTGCCCAAGAGCTAGAAACGAAGCTGGGTGCTGGCCACACAGAATGATATGTAAGTAAGTGAGCTAATGAACTATCAGCATACAGAGTTGGCTAAAAGATGCAAAGAAAAATAACACTTAATGGCAGGTGGCCAAGGGAAGCAGAACGCATGAACACAGTGGGGCTGGAGCCTGAAACACAGTGAAGTGCAGGACACCACCATCAACTGTGCTGCCCAGTGCAACAGCCAGGAAGGATCCTGGATGCACTTGGCTGAAGCCGGCATAGAGCAGTACGTAACTTCTACTCTTCTATTCTAACCTCCGCACCAGGTACTGTTCTTCAGCTGACTTATACGTGGCTTTGTGCTGTTTTGAAAGGGCCATCTATATTGGTGCACACTGTTTTGCAGAGGTCCTACAGGGATTAAAAACCTTCAAGGATAACAACCCAGTTTTGAGAGTTTCTCTGCTCTGCAAAAATCAGAAGGCCTAAACCCAACATTTGGAAGTGAAATGCTTCCATAGAGAACATGGCCAAAGCCGTAGCAAACCAGTTATTCCTCTGCTAACTGACAGAGTAAAAGACTGTTAATTCAACAGTGCTGTTAAAAAAAACCCCAAAACATTCTAAGGTTTTGTTCCCTGTGCTTCTGTGGCATTAAACCTGTTCACAATTCTGTTTAATTACCTTTTTTTCTGGTAAATGTCCATGAGAGTATTACTACTTAGAACAGAGCAGTATTTATATCTCTTACAAAGAGCATTACAATTATTATTCAGTTTGCCATTTGCTTTCAAATGCCTTAGTCTATATCATGATATCAGCAAAAATATCAAGATTGCTTTCTGCATCATCCTCAGGCTCCACTTCTTCACTGTGATCCTTTGGAGAGGTGTGTACATCTTGTTCTTGAATGGTCTTTCTCTTCCTTCTGTGAACGTACACAGAGCGATTCTTCTCCGTCTCCTCAGAAGGCGAACTGTTTGCACTGATGGCAGTTTTCAAAGCTAACTCTAAGCATTTGTAGAATCTAGAAAGAAACAATTGTGTAGTTATTATTTTTGTAGGTTTGCTCAGGATCTGCAAAACTACTCTGAGAAACTGATGTTTTTGTAATATAATCAAAACATGCTAAGAGAAGAAAATCGTTACTAACATTGAAATGTTCTAGCCAATACTGGAAGAAAAATCAGAAACATCAGCACACATCCTTGCGTATGCCATGCCACTTCTCTTTGTAATGCTTGTATGTTAGAAGTCAATTAGGGGATGTGCTCATGTACAAGACCCTGTTAATCTTACAGAAACTATAAAATGGTATCTGGTTAAACATCTGATGAATGATAGCATTAATGATCAGATGGACTGCTACTATTAGCAATTACTTTTAACTGTAACAACTACAGAGATTTTCAATGGACATATAAAAAGGTAGGTGTCTCTCCAGCATCCTTTTGATCCTCCTGCTCTTTGGCTCTTCTGCTTATTCTGTTCCTCAGCGGGAGACAAATGTAAAGACCCAAATTGTGTGTAACCTTCCACTGCTTTCATAAATCATCAGTTTTGGAAACTATACAAAGCATTTAGTGGATTAAAGTGTGCACTGCAATCTGAATACTTCTGAAATGGTTACTGTGTTAGAATAACAAATGCTGTTATCATTAGAAAAAGAAACTTAAACCCTACTCAGTAACAAAGACAGTCTGCAAACTCATGTTGTTTATAGGTTTTCGCTTAAACAGTTTATAGTGTTCAGAGCTCAAAAAATTAATTCAAATTGTATTTTAGATTTTGGCAGGTCTGTCTGGTTTTGATTTTTTTTTTTTTACATAACCCCTCTCACTTTTGGATTTAGGTGTCATGAATAGAATTGGTGTACTCTTACAAACCTGTCAATCCTCCTTGTGTTTTCTTCCATTTTCCGATTAGCTACATGTATCAGAAATTCAATATATTCTTCGGAGACCATCAATTTCCCCTTGTGGCTCAATGGAACTTCTAAGCCATGGGTACTCCGGACAGCCTAAGAAAACACCGAGAAGGATTTATCTGGAATAAAGTTTTTTATTTTATGAAGGTTATTTAAATAATATGGGGAGTTCATTACAGGAAAAAAACCCCACTTATCCACACAATTGGTTAGTTTGCTGCCAACTAAAGCAGAAAAATATTTCTTTGCTACAGCATGCCCTGTGACAGCTGTCAATCGCATTACAATTCAGGTCTTGGCTCATAAAAAATCAAGGCTAACAGTAACGATATGATTTTGTTACATTCCTTACAGGTAAGTAGAAAAGTCCTTACCATCATAATTTTTCCTCCTCTGCCAACCGTAATACCAGAGTTCCTGAACCCAGACTCGATAGCCACTGAATGCTGCAGAACAAATAAATGCCTTAAACAGGTCTTACACACTCTCAAAGCAAGAAATAATTATGGATGTGTTGTGATGCAGTTTATAATCTCAGTTCTGCAAAAAAACTTATTCAAAACCATCTCCCCAAATTAATGCAATAATAGTTACACTAAAATATTTTTAAGATCAAACCCACATAATATCACAAATTGTGGGTGGTTTTCAAAGAACCACAGTCAATCTTGATTGTCTAATCTTAATCCCTTAGTGCAGATGGGACATTAACATCTCTCTGGGAACTGTCCTATTTTATCTTGAAGAGCTAGTAACCATATAGACAACTGTGCAACACTTTTATAGCTGGAAGTGCAGCAGTACTATAAAAGCAGCTAATCAACTCTGTTCTACATTCATGAAGGAACAAACCCATCATGCATTACTCTCCGGATTCATTCTGGAAAAGCAGAAGGCAAAGGTACTACTCAATTAGTTGAAACGCTGGAGCCAAATGGCCTGGCTGGTAGCAAAATGACATCGAAAAAAACCATCACCTTCAGTCAGTGAAAGCAACCCAGGCTCATGGGGAAAAATTTTTCACCAGGCAACCTGCTTCAGCTCCAACACTGAATTGTAGTTGAGTAATTTTGTTTTCTAAAAAGTAAAGCAAAATCTCTACTAAGTTTAAAGCTGTGTTTTCTTCATCAGCTTACTTTTACTACCCTACTTATTAAACATAAAGCACATCTGGGACTATTCCTAAGTGCTAAAGCTTACTCAGGAGCCAATACTTTTACTTTTACAGCAAGGAATATAACAGAACAACAATGTAACATTGTTACTTGGTGTAATTTTACCAGAAGCTGTGCATCTTGCAGCTCTTGACATAGCACGTGAAGAACAAATGGTTCAAACTTGAGCACAACGTCACCAGTGGCTCTCTCTAGTGCTGTCATCTGGAAAATACACCAACATATTTATATTAATACTGTAAGTGTGCACTGTTACTACAAAAAAAAAAAAAAAGAAAATAATAGCTAGTCAGTGTGTGAAATAAGCATTAAAAATGCAGCAAATGAGTTCCAAGCAATCAGGTTTGTTCAGCTGCTTTTGATTTTTCATTGCTCATAATACATAGAAATTCCATGGATTTCCATGATTCTGTTTGCTCAACTGACTAAGTTTGATAGAAATTCATTGCAAGATAGACTTTAAAAACTTGAAAAAGTGTGCTTCCCTGTTTATTTCTTTGTACATTCAAATGAATCGATACAGTCAGTAAAGCATGGGAAGAGGACAGTTTTACTGCAATCAGATGAAACCTGAGCAAGTTGTTCTAGTGTTTTTTTTTTTTTTTTAAACTGTTCTTTAAAATCAAAGACAGTTAGTTTCTGAAGTACATTCCCCAACTTCAGAAAACTTTCT